AGACGAGAAAGGCTGAGTTTTTGGCATGTGTATTTTTTGGTGGAATGGCGACACATTTTATTCTGGCGGTCTTCGGTAATCTTCAAGTTTGCAATAACAGCTTTGTTTCGATTCCAACTCCATCACCATTAACAATAGTTTTCGTTATAACTAACAGGTATATGTTCCTTTAAGGACAAGTCATGCTGTTCTCAAAAATAGAGGCCTGTCGTGATGGCATCTGTGTTTTTAATTCTTAAACTTGGCTAAGGAATAAGAGGTTCAGGGTTCAATGACCTCGGAAAGTGTCAATATCTGATGGAGGTCAGATTAGGTCTACAAAGCGCCCAGTCTTTAATCTTACCCACTCTGTTTAGCAAGATAGTTTTCAAGAAGTCAAAGGCTGGACATGTGCATTTAGACTACAGGTATCACCGAGATAATTATGATCCTTAAAAGCATTATTCTAATTTGATGGCTGGCTAATAGCTCACACAGTAACTTTTAGGTTTCGGAAACCCCCAGTGGCTTGTAATTATTACCCATAGTGGCCATAGACTTGTATTCTAATACCCCAGACTCTGCACGTCGTTCCCGTTCACTATGGAGCCCACCATTATTTCGACTTAGTTTCGAGCCGAATTACGGGCAAGGCAGTGGAAGCTGCAGGGTGCACTCAACTATTATGACGAGGCTGTTGCTTTGCCCTTCATTTGGACGCACATTATGCGCTCTCTTCGCAGCAAAGTTTTTATAGAGACCAAAGTGAAATGGCCGATACAGTGCGCGGTCTAGAATAGACTTGAAGCCTATGGTATGTATGACCTTACACCTACACAATGGGTAACATCCCTTGAAGGATTCGTCTCTTCAGTCAACTTCGAACCCAACCAATTCGACTTATTTATTGGCTCACTGTCATGTAGGTGGTGGTACTTTTAAAACAGTAATGTAGTTAGAGAGACGTGCACTCGATTCAATTTCCACCTCTGAAAGAATTGGCCTACAAGGATAGAAAACCATAACAATTCCTTAAATAATCCACTTAAAAAGTCCTGTGCGAGATTCGAACTTTGGTCAAAAGTACATCGGATCAACTTGATAAGTTAGATCACTAACATAAAACACGATCCTGTGCATTTAGTGTACATTAACAATGTAGGCAGTTTTACGCCCCGTAGACACAATTTACAAGTAGATTATTTAGGAGACGGACGGAGGTGGATACAACGTCTCAGCAGAAAGAAGACCAAAATAATCGATAAAGATCCCCTCCAAGGGAATCAAACTCGTGTTTTCTGTGTGGAATGGTTAAGCCCCTAGCCGCCGCGCTTTTCCCTTTCGTCAACCCGCAGCCACCTCCCGAATCGTCAGCCTTCACCCAACCTTTGACACGGGTCAAAATTCCATCTATTTATAGGTAGTTAGATCTACCGGAACATGTATTAGGCGAAGTGATGTGCAATGATAGTCGCAATAGAGAGATTGTTTTGGTCTCTCTTTACTCATCTGCACCACTC